CTCTCGTGATTCAGCACCGTCTGTGTCAGTCAGCGTGGGTCCCGGCAGGGCTGCTCGTAGCTGAATGCCTTAACGATGCTGCAGCGTAGGTGCCTCTCTCGCTTCTATAAATCCCCGTCTGTAGGTGGCTGACACAACCTGTAGAGTCTTCAAGGCAGATGAAGAGTACAGCATTAAATACCAGAAGAAGGGTAGCATAAAGGTACTGGCACAGTATATGAGCGTCACCTTCTTCATCATTCCGCAAGCTTTTGAGGTAATTCCGCACCAAGAACACCACTATTTTTCATTTTAATAATTGCAAATTTAGAAGTGCCACTAGCGGCTGAACGGACTTTGAAATTTGGAATCACGTTTGAACCACCCGGCTCGCAAACGGAGACCAGGGGTTAAACCTACGCGCATTCTGACTGTTCGTGGTAGCTGTCTCTTGGCTTTTTCTACCTGACGTTGGAATAAACTCAAGTCATTTATAACTTCTCTTTGGAGAGCTGCTGCTACAGAGCTGGACAAACCTCAGTGCTGGGAAACGTAATCCTGAGAATAAGCATTAATTCACCAGTTCTCTTTTTAACTTTGCTCAGTTTTATCTCACAGTATGATGGTGGATCTCAGCGGGAGCACATGCATCTGAGTAAACAGCCTGGAATTTGTCACAGTGATTTAGGGGGTATAGGGAAGAAGAGAAACACCTCATCCGATGATTTGTTTGTGAAGCTGTTTCTTTTTGAACAGAGCATGCTGCTATGGTCATAAAAATGGAACCAAAGTAATGCCCAGCCTTTGATAAGGCAAAAGAACCTCACTGCCAAAACGCTGATGTAGGACACTGGGGACACGGTACAGGAGCCAACACGGACTCCTTCCATCCCGTTTTCCAACAGCAATTACAATCCAACAGAAGGGTAAGGTTCTAAATGCAAAACCTGCTCTTCTTAAGCTCCGTGAGAAAACAGCACACGGCCAGTCTGCCACAGGAATCGCCATCACCGTCTCTGGAGTTTAAAATGATTTTCTATAAAGATTTCCATGAGCAGATAGGAAAAAATCCCACGCCCCCAAAAAAGCAGCAGGTGTTATTCAGACTAACTAACTCCAAAGTCTTAATGGGTGAACAGACACCGGTGTTTTATGGAAGCCTCTTGACACTGAACCAGGATGTCCCGTGGAGGACTCCAGCACCAGGAAATATGCTCGCTCCATCCAAAGGGATGGCACATATTTTCCTGGATCTTTCCTGATGCTGACTCCTGCGTGCCAGAGACTCGCCGTGTGGAAATAATGCCACTAACAGGAGCAGAACCAGGCGTTCCTCTGCGGTTCATACAGACTGGTTTTGCATATATTCTCATCTAAATCATGACGATTTGTTACTACCACTGTGGGGAAATGCTGTGTTATTAAAGAATATTCTCTTCTCTCTGCTGTATTGAATAGGAGCAACTTGGTCAGAAAGACTTTTCTTAAAACCAAAGGTATGCTAACCCTGCAGAGAAAGATGATGAACATCTCCAGCTCTCGTTAGGTGCAGAAGGATTCACAAATGTACAAGGCTTTTCAAAGCTGTCTTCTAGACACAGACGTACATAACCCTGGGCAACGGATCTTCCCTAGAGCTGCCTTACTGTACGGTGACTCTGACTTGAAGTGCTTCCTCTTAACCCTACTCTGCCATAACGAGCCAGTCAAGCTCACAGATTCACGGAGTGGAAGGGGTTGGAAGGCACCTCTAGAGATCATCTAGTCCAATCCCCCCACCAGAGCAGGATCCCCTGGAGTAGATCACACAGGAACAAGTCCAGGCGGCTTTGGAAAGTCTCCAGGGAAGGAGACTCCACCCACTCCCTGGGAGGGCTCTGTCACCCTCCCAGTGAAGAAGGGTTTCCTCATGGTCAGGTTGAATCTTTTGTTTTCCCGTTTATGGCCATTGTCCCTCGTCCTGTCACTGGACACCACTGAGAAGAGCCTGGCCCCATCCTCCTGACACCCACCCTTTAGATAGTGATAAGCATTGGTAAGATCCCCCTCAGCCTCCTCTTCTCCAGCTGAACAGACCCAGCTCTCTCAGCCTTTCCTCACGTGGAAGGTGCTCCAGGTCCTTCATCCTCGTAGCGGCCCCTGTGCTGGACCCTCTCCAGTAGCTCCTTGTCCTTCCTGAACTGGGGAGCCCAGAACTGGACACAGCACTCCAGGGGTGGCCTCACCAGCACAGAGGAGAGAGGGAGGATAACTTCCCTCGACCTGCTGGCCATGCTCCTCTTAAGGCACCCCAGGGTGCCATTGGCCTCCTTAGCACCCAGCACTACCAGCCCATGCACTGTCTTTGCGTATCGGCAGTCGGATTTGCCAGTTTCTTTCTAAGCGTTCCACAGAGGGCTGTCAATCACTGGCTTTTCAGCAATAGTCCACAAATGACCCTTCTCTCTGATCAGGTATGTTTTGTTCAGAAAACACAGGAACTTGGAAGTTAATGATCTGTGAACTGTAAGCAGCAAAGCTGACTGATCTACAGCTCACTAAGTGCAGGGAGAAAGGAGAACAGGAATTTTTTCTTTCTTCTACTGCTGCTACTAAGGAAATCTTTGGTTACAGCAGGAACTCCACCATTGTCAGAGATACAGAAAAGCAGCACTCAGATAAAACGCGTAACGCAATAACCTACCGGGGCGCACACTGGGGCATTTGGTCCATCACTTTCAGATTCTTGGCAGAGATCTCAACCCTCGGTCCCTACGGAAACAGAGAATTTATGGCACTGACAGTATCGATAAAGCATCTGATCCCTGGGGGAAAATATTATAATGGGAGTATGGTTCTTATTTGAGAATCCATTAACTACTTTTAGAAGATTTGGAATCCATTGGGTGGATACATTAGTCATCTGTGTTTACTTAAAGGATGGAATTAGTCCCAAAGCACTTTACAAGCGCTGCTAGACAAGCGCTGCTGTCTAGCACTAGGGAATTTCTACTATTTAACACTGTGATTGCAACTTGGCTTTTTGCCTACAGAAATTGCCTTAAATACACCGGACAGCCTCTGCTTTCTCACCATCAAGGCAGCCACCTCAAACAGTGTACGCCGAGGCACGTATTTTAATTGCTGTAATGGCTGCACGGGCAGAAGCTGACCTCTTCCTGCCGAAAGCGCGCGTAGCTGTTCAGGCACTAACAGCAGAACACGGTGCCATACGGAAAGGCAGCGGCGTTTGTAGGAAGGTGTTACTGGTGGCACGCAACGGACACGCATCCGAAGGCTCACCTGCTTCCGCATGATGTCTGTAGCTTGCATGATGCACTTGGGCAAAAGGCCGTGACTTCGAGCCAGGATGGCTGCTTGCTCCAGGGACACGCTCAGCGTACTCCTGAACGTGGGTAAAGAGACAGTAACACAGATCACGTTTAGAAATGTACAAACAGGTGTGCAGAGGACATGCACGTGTTCAGTATGACTGCTGTTAGCTCGTGCTCTTCTATTTCCTTTTCCAGTCTTTTACTACAGAGTGTCCTGCATTTCCAGCCTCGCTGCAGCCAGGTACTGAAGCTGAGCCTCCAGCATCTTTACTACACGGTTACGTTTCACTGCTCTTCAGCCTTGATTCATGTGAAGTTATTCACAGATGAACCTTTTCTTTACTCAACAGTTCTGAGACGCTGGAAGAACAGTGCTGCATTTAGGATCAATGCTTGCACACACAAAGGTTCCAAAGCTATTTTTGAGGAATTCCCTGCATTTTCAGTGTATGATTCAAGACAACATTCACTGCAAGTTACAAGCAATGAGATTACTCAGTCAGTTACATTGGTTGATGCACTAAAACATTAAAAAGTTGGTGTGTCATTGTAATTATTAATAAAAACATTAAAAGCCACAAGCTACCCTAAAATAAAGACGGTAGATTTAGGTCCTTATTGCATTCCCTTATGATTTCCCTTTCTATTGCTTTGAACAGAATCAAATACACAGCTCCAGTCTCTAGAGAGGACAGAGGTTCTGCTCCCACCGGTAACATGTCGGTTTCTGAAATCTCACCTCTGCATCCCCGTACCGCACATAGTAATCTGGCAGGCTCCGAGTCGGTAGCAGAGCTCAGAGGATATGGGTAGCAGGCCAGCTCCTGACAAGCTACTGCTCGAATATCCCGACTGGCTTGGTTTTGTATGAATAAAGGACTTCATCAGCCTGCAAAGCTCATCCATTGCGTTAATGGGGCGAATAAGCTGAACAAAGCAATAAAATAATGCATCAGAGGCATACTTACACCATCAGGGAAAGACATTTACAATCCTTTATCCTATGTCTAAGCGCAATAATCTACACAAGAGTAACTGCCACACAGTAACAGCTATTTAGAATATATATGAACTTTGGAAGTGGAAAAATGAGAACAATTACTTAGGCTTGGGGCATTTTTTTTGCAATTATCATAAATCCCACAGATTGTTTACAACGTATATTACAATTGCAGAGACAGTCTCTGGTTTTGCCTTCCCTGCAGGAGTATTTCGTGCCTTACATGCATATATCACGTCACCTGCCCCAGTTAGACAGGCTGCCTTTCCGCGAGATGCTGGCAAGTCCTGTTTTCCTGTTGTTTTCTTCACAATCTTCTAATTGTGAACAAAGCATAACTTGCAAATTGAACATCTGTTCATGCATTTTCATGCATTAGTGGGAGAGGAGAATTCATTCATTCTGTCTAACATCATACTCCTTCTTTAGCAGGGGCACTCAGGGTGAGACGGAGTCTTATTGGTGCCTAAGTGAAGGGGTTTGGGTCCACCCCAGTTCTGCCCGTTTTCTTCAAAACCAACCAACCAAAAAACTGTAGGCAAGCTTCCCTGCTCTTTAGGGCAGGGAATGTGTTTTAAATGATCTTTGGGCTTGTACAGGTCTGCCATATGGGTATCCCACGGCTGGGATTTTAGAGACCAAGCGATGTAGAAATAAAGACAGTAATACCTGATCGATTTTCACTGCAGTGGTATTGGAGTCAGTGGGCAAGTTCGACCTCTCTAGGTAAAATGTCCTGCAAAAAGGCCAGCAAAGATGACATCAGTTGGTGTGTCTTGCTGCGAGCACAACTATGCACACTACCCCGTATAAAATGTCTGAGAAGGCTGCGCTAAAAATCCTGCACTTCAACATCTGCTTTCCTATTGAAGTTTCGATTGCAGTAATTTTACAGGGTCTGTACTAAAACATTCCAAATCCCCTGTTTTATGTAATTTTACCTCTGAAGTCAAATTTGATGGGAATTTCATCCCATCTTCAGAATGAGCTTCACTGTGGGAAGAAAATTAACAGGTTTCTACATAATGAAGAACTCCCAAAATTGTATTTCCACAAGAAACCACCAGGACTGAAATCTCTTTTCCATTACATTTTAAAGTCCTTCACAAGGAGTGCTCTTTTTGATGTCTTTTAAGGCAAAGGAGAAGCATGAAATACCTGAGTTTACGGTAGTATTGCTGCACTTTTTCAAGTGAAATACCATTAATTTGCTGTGGGAGTTCTTCTAGAGCTGAGCCAGCTGGTTGCGATTGCCCCTCCACACTCTCCAGAGCTGAAGAAGAAAACATTTAGTAAACCTGTGTCATTAGTTTTCATTCATTTCTGTATCTATCATGTCACTGCTCAGCAAATGGCTGTCGGATGGTGCCAAGGCTGATCCTGTTACTGCAGACGTGTAATGCGCTGCCCAGTATGGGAACGTCGCGGTGGTATCGTAAAGGTGAGCTCCACAGGAAGCAGTTCTATCCACCAGCAATTGCTCCCCATCCATAGCCCCTTCAAGAAATTTTCCTGTATTGCTTTTGGGTGTGAGTGTTTGCTTATCAGGTCATTTCCCAGCCCAGATGCTGCTGCCATGATGTATGCTTTTAAAAACACTCTGCAGGCTGGGAACATCTAATATGATACCAGATCAGACTGTCCAGGTAGTCTCTGCAGCTGGAATCTTTACAGGAAGTCATAAAAAAGCCCCAGTCAGCCATCTCTTGTTCTCATGACTGTGCCTTATTCTGAAATCTAGCACTCCCCAGGTCTTCTAGAATAGAAACAGCTGCTGCTTAAGTATGTCTGTAGTTCTCAGCTGCACTGTGTTCAGAGCTTCAGGGTCATTCGCTATCTTGAATCTTCCCCCACCATCACTAAGCTTATTTTTCTCAAGAAAGCTTTTTATAGGCACCTTTTGTAAAGAGCACCGTGTGCAGCTTCAAGCTTCCCCCGTTCTGAAACCGAGAAGGCAGTTTGGAGAAGTAGTAGCTGTCAAGATAAAAGATAACCTTCAAGGCCTGACGACTTCCTTCGATGTGGTAGAAGACATGAGTATCTGCAGAAAGAAAGATAAAACACTTGCTGCTTTACCACAGCAGGAGAAATGTGAAACCCTTGCTGAGTTAGATTATCTAGTGACCTTTCACATCTTCCCTGCTAGATGAGTAAGGGAAAGCCCTTACTGTGGCAGTGCAGGCTCTGTAACGCTACACGGACAAGGACACACAGCATGACCTGGCATGTTGTTTGACGCTGATACAATAAACATGGTTAATCATTAAAATCCCATCTTGTTGCATGGTATCCCATAGTAAACATGGAGAGAGATCTGGCAAGGTGGGACACAGAAAGGCTGGGGAGGGACAGTCCTTCTACCTCAGGTGGTGTGGTAAATTACCAACATCTGTCAGGAGCTGCTCACCATCTGCCGTGTCTCCCTGGGCGCGAAATCACACAGGGAAGGTGCAGGGGCACAGACCACAGTGACAAATCACACAACAGCCACAGCATCCACGATGTCAGTCCTGCTTTTTATGCTGTGTGTTTGCAGGGGAAGCTGAGAGAACACAACAGTGTTCCAGAGAAGCTGCTCAGTGCTCTCCAGGGCTGACACGGTCTGTCACATTTATCATCGTGGAGGATATTAACTCATAAAACAAAAAAGAAACAAAAGGAGCTTCAAAGCAGCCGAGAGTACTCACTTGCTACAAGGCTTTCATCCAGCTGCTTGAAATAGAAGGCAACTTTGTCCAGTTCAGGCAGAGTGACCTGGATGTCTTCCAGCATGGTACACTCCTCCTTCTTTGGAGCAAAGACACAGATAGAAATAGGTTATAATCTGCCAGAAAGAGATCAGTGGCAGAAAGGTCTAGTTGGTGGGGGCAGGCTTTGGTTCAGGAGACCTAGAGCAGAATGTGGAGCTTTCCCTTAACTCCATCCCAGGCAGTTAATCACTGACAGCACTCTAACTCTGTGATAAAAGCTTGGCTTTGCTTGCGTGTCATTTGACGTAATTCACAGGCAGTAGAGGGGTTTAGGGACTAAGTAAGTTTGAAGAGATCTTTCTCCAAACTTTATACCTACAAATATGAAGAACAGGCTATCGGTTATGGCAAAATAATGTCCACGCAGCCCAGGCAATGTGAAGAAGCAGTAGTCATGTGCACATGTAGTTTAGATCGTCTGTAACAACCCACACTCAAGCTACAATGTTCACAAAGTCAAAAAGATGTCACTCCTTCATAGTGCCAGAGATGCTTTTTATGCACCTTTTAATTCACACTTTCTAGGGTGGCTTAGCGACCGTAGCTGTGCCTTGTCTGTTCATTAGGTGCAGATGAACTCGGCAAGGGCAGCTCCAATTCTCCTTACACATGGAGCCTCCAATACCAGCAGCACGGAGAGGAGAGACTGCAGACTATCTAGTCGATAAAAGCGGACCGTGTCTGCTCAACTTTCATGCCCGACTTCACGAAATACTCCGAACTGTTTTCGCCGATCTGCTGAAACGTGTGCTTTCACCAGAAGGTGGCAGACCACGCACGCACCAACAGCCGGGCAGTAAAGCCTCCCTAAACCCAGCAGCCCTACGCCAAGCAGGAAGGCAGATTCCTACAGTTTAGTGTGACAGGGGAGCCAGCGTTTGTGAGGAGATGAGAATGATGAGATATGGAATACTGGCATATGGCTGTCAGCAGCAGGAATCTCCAGAGGCGGCTGTAGTGAGTCTAAACGTGCTGCTGGAATGAAGGGCTCTGCTGTGCTGGGAGCGGCGGCGAAGCACACGGGCAAGCGTGAGCAGACCCAAGGGTGCCACAAGTCGTCATCTTACCGCAGATGGGGAGAGAAGAGACTGGTAGTTCAGTAAAACCCCGGTGGCTGCTATCTGTTCCAGCCATTTTCTGCTGGCATCTCTGCTGCTTTCTTCATATTCCCCATTGTTGTTGTATCGATAGTTGAGAGCAGCCAGTAACTGCTCTGAAAAGGTGCAAATAGCAGCCACAAGAGACTGACAGAAGATGGAATCACGTCTCAGCTGTAGCTCAGTATCTGGCAAAGAAGGGGAGAGAAGCACAAAGAAGTCATGAGTATCCTTGTCTGTAACCCCACTGCCAAAGAGGCAGTTGGGGAGTGTGTGTGTACACAACATTTGGCTTCTGCTGCAGCTTTGCACAGACGTTAACAGGCTGTTCTTGCCGTGTGACCTGGGTGTGTAGATGAAGACAGCATGGCTGGAGTACATGCATGTCTGAAAATTTTCTAGTCCACTTGACTCTTTACTACTCCCTTTGCCATCTGCATGCACATTCTTCTGACTGGGAAGAGCTGTAACTCCTTAGTGCCATGTCTGGACTGATTCCCTTCTTTTTGTGTTTACAGAAACAAGAGAACTCTTGAAAGAAGGTCTCTGCCCTGACTTCTCTCCTGGGCTATTACAGATTCATCTTCCCCCTTCCATCTGTATTCCGTGTGCTTCCCATATGCTTAATGCATTAGCTGGGCCTGCCCATACGGTACCGATTGGTTTACGTTTCCTGGGAGAATTTCCCCTGCGTTAACTTTGCTTCCAGCCCGCCTGCCAGGCAGCCACATGCTGCTCCAACCAACCTCGTCACACTTAAGGGGATTGCTGGCCAAAGAGGCAGACGGGTAAGTGAAGAGCTACTTCCCAGGCACCCCCGGCTCCTCCAGCCAGCACTGCGGTGCAGCAGTCTCTCGGCAGAACCTGAGGACATCACCCAGAGACGCTGGGGATCTGGGTTATTCCCGTAAAGCGCTGGACACAAACTCCACTCATGCACTCCAGGCCCCGGGTCACACTCTCAGCCCAAGGGCAACCAACCCTTCCGGCGGCACAGGGGCGTACTGCTGGGCGTAAGGCAGAGAGCGCCTTGGGCTGCCCGCAAGGAAGGGGGAACCCGGGGTGCCATAAGGCTGCCACAGCCAGCTGAGTGCCACCTGCTCCTCCGTGCTTTCCAGAAGATGTTCATGGAAAATCAAAAACCAGGGATGTTCAGCCTGGAGAAGAGG